TCATGGTGAGCAACCGGGAAAAATATTCGAGGCATAAGACAAATAATAATGGAGACATTGGATCTCCTTGCCTTATGCCTCTTTTTCCTTTGAAAAAACCATGTAACGACCCATTCAAGGAAACCGAGAAGGAAGCTGTTGACACACATTCAATTATCCAACCAACAAACCTAGAAGGGAAGCCCAACCCCTTTAGGACATTTTCAAGAAAATTCCACGAAATGGTGTCATAGGCCTTGCGCAAATCCACCATAATCATACATCTTGGTGAAATTCGCTTCCTATTGTATCCTCTAACAAGTTCCTGGGCAAGGAATATGTTATCAAACATTAGGCGGCCGTCTACGAAAGCACCTTGTGCTTGGTTAATTAAACCCGAGAGACATGGGTTTAATCTTGCCGCTAAAATTTTTGTAATGACTTTATACAACACATTTGTACATGATATTGGTCTATAGTCCGAAACTTTAGGTGAGTGAGTAGTCTTGGGGATAAGTGCTATAACCGTATGGTTAATTTGTTTGAGCAACTTTCCCGAATGAAAAAATTCCCTAATTGCTTGGACTATGTCATCCCCAATAAGGCTCCAATTCGCCTTAAAGAAAGCCGATGAATATCCATCCGGCCCCGGTGCCTTATCATCTCCAATGTCAAACAAGGCATCTTTAATTTCCTTGTTCGATATTGGGGCAAGTAGGCTATCATGAACACTTGGTTCAATCAAAGGGCCGTGACCTAAGACCATCGGGTCTAGGTCAAGGTTTTCCACCTCGGTACCAAAAAGATCCATAAAAAACTTTACAAATTCATCACCCACTTGATCCAAAGAAGTGGTGACACTACCATCTTCCAAGGATATGGATGATATAGCATTTCGTGCCATATTCCTCTTCATAATGGCATGAAAGTATCTCGTGCCTTTATCGGCCTCTAGAATGTGAGTGGCCTTAGCTCGTTGTTGGTAGAAGCTTGATTCGGCCTCCCCAAGAAATGCTGCCCTTTTCCTAGCCGCCATTAATTGCACTTTGATCTCCTCATCTAGAGGTGATTCAAGCGCCATTTTATTCAATCTTTTAAAATCCTCCTTAGCTTTCTTTGCCTTTGTTGAGATATGCCCATATTCCAATGAATTGAGCTTTTTAAGTGGCCCTTTGAGCAACTTGAGCTTCCTCACAATCGAATACTGGGCTGTACCATCAACAAAAATGCTCCAATTCTGCACCACTAAATTAGCAAAATCATGATGCTTAATCCACATATTAAAAAACTTGAAAGGTTTCGACCTTAATGAGGAATTATGGAGTATTGATATAACGGAAGCCGTATGATCAAACTCCACCTCCATTTCGTTGAAATGGGCCTTACAACCAATACCGTTAAGTCCCCAAACATCATTTAAAAGAACTCGATCTAGCTTAGCCCATAGAGTACCTCTATTCCAAGTATAAAATTCTCCTGTAGAGGGAGCATCTTCTAAGCTAGCACGGACTTTAAATTCAAATAAATGTTGCATCATGTATGCCGTAGGTGGGTTGGAACCCAACCTCTCATTCGGCGCACATACACAGTTAAAATCACCTGCGACAATCCAAGGTTCCCTAATTTGGTCACCTAGCGTCACAAGATAATCCCAAAGAGCCTTACGCTCCAACACCGTATACAACGGATAAACAAGAGTAATAAAAAAAGTGGTTTGAGTAATTCGGCATATACATTCAACATGCATATATTGCGCTTCAATCTCTCTCACCACACAATGTAGAAAATTTGGGTTCCAAAGGATAACCATTCGGCCCCCATTAATTTTTTCAAAATTATTTTCACTTAGCCAACCTGGCCATTTATTTGAAACATAATTTTTAAAACTGTCCTTAGTCATTTTAGTTTCTAATAGACAACAAAAATTCGCATTATTTATTTTAATAATATTAGAAATACTAGTATGCTTGGAGGGTTTATGCAAACCTCTCACATTCCACACAATGGCTTTAATCATCCGTGACCATCCAAATTGGAGGTTTGGCAATCCTCCGATCCTGCCAACTTCTTCTTTTCTTCTCTCGCCTTTCGCCTCAACATCTCCTTATAATACGTCTTGTTTTCATTGCTATTTTCATCAAAGAAAGAAACAACATTAGGAATAAAAATAGAGGGTTCGAATTTAAACCAGTTAAAATGCCGCTTGGCTCCTGGCAGTGTCTTTAGGCATTGAAACGTGAAGCTCATCCCTGGATTCTCCTTTCCATACACCGCTTTGAAATCCGGACCAACTCTACATTCAAAGTGACTAAGAGGAAGATCAGCCCTCTTCATGACATAAACGGTCCTTTTTCCCTTTTCATCAAGCTCCCATTTAGTCACCACATCTTCGTCATCCATTTCATATATGCTTCTCACTATATTGCCTCCAATATCCTTGTCCGGAACTTGTATCCCATCCACAAACTCCCTGGTTTCCCGGTCAATTTTAAGGATGAAAGGATATGTAGGTTCCTTTGGCTTGCTTGTCCTGGATGAAGTTTCTGCAGTCTCCATGTCCGTCGGGTTGGCCGGTTGCAGAACAGTTTCCTTCTCCATCTCCCTTGGTGTAGAATCTGCCTTGGCTGGTTCTATTTCCTTCAGTTTGGTGGCATTGGGAACTGCAGCTGAAAAAGGTGAGATAGGGGCTGCCTTGGCCGAGGGTTCCGCTCCAGTAGAAGTTGCAGGTTCCTTGTTTTTCTTTTTTGCAGTCTTCGGTTCCTTGGCAGCTTGTGTGTTTGACGAAGATGCCTTAACCTCCTTGTGTTTGACAGTCCACTTCCTTGGCACCACAAGCTTGAAAGGTGGTTCCTCCGGTTCCACAATGGCTACAGTTTTATTCTTGGCAGCCTCATCCTTCTTCGGATTCTCCATTTCCTTAGCAATTACAATGTGTTTGTCACCATTCCCCTTTTTTTCCGGATGCAGAACCTTACACACAAATGGGTTATGGCCAAACTTTTTGCATTCATAACAGTAATTTGGGTAGGTTTCAAATACCACAAACTGCTTCCTCCTTTTACCCGATGGTTGTATCATAGGAATCTCAAGAACCGGAGGTTTAGAAGAGTCAACCTCCACAAGCACACGTGCAAATTGCGCCCTAGCCTTGTTTTGAGTGATTTGGTCCGCAATGATGGGGACGCCCACCCTTGATGCCAGTTCACTGATTTCCGGCTTGTTCCAAAGAGTGACCGATAAACCGGGGAATTTAATCCAAGTTGGAACCTTCAGAAATTCTTCACCATCAAACTCAAAATCCTCAGATAGCATTTTAAGAAATAAAGCCTTGCCATATGAAGAGTATGGCCCTTCGGAAATGACCTTGGTTCGATCATCCTCACTTTGGAAGTGAAAAATCACCCACCCCCTGTCATGGGATTTAGCCTTACACCTCACACCCCATTTGTTAATAAGAGCATGTACTGCCTTCATACCCGGGAACCTTCCAGTAAAGCAGCCAACTAAGCAAGGACCCCAGATTTCCATAAGGGTAGGAAGCTTACGATTAGAGAAGTCCACCACTTCACCCTTGGGAGGAATGTAGTCCAACTTCATTCCATGCGAAAGAGAACGGTTATCTTGAAACAAGTTTACCCACGGTTTCTTCACTTCTTGTTCTTTTTCAGATTCACCCAAATCCTCTTTGTAGCTAGCATCAGAAGCTGTATCCTCCGAGCCTAATGTTTCGGATCCACCCTCTTCCTCAACCAATATGCTATCAACTAACTTAGAGTTAGCCGTATCATTTGGAGTAGAGTCATTAGTAGAATCAGCCGGCTGTGCAAGAGTGATCTCAGTTGAGGTCTCGGCAAAAATAGGTGCCCCTTGTTTAGTTGATGATGGTATAACCGTCATACTTGGAGCAATTTTGGTAGCTGGAGATGGTAAGACCTTCTCAATAACTATCCCTCCCTTCTTGCTAGCTTCAATCTCAGCCTTTTTTCTAGCTTCAAGTGCAAGTTTCTTGGCATTCAACATTCTGATTTTTTCATCAAACGCATCATCCTTTGGAGGAGGTGTTCGGCTTTGCTTATTATTTCTTGTCATTGGAAGAAGCAGCTAGCACATCACAAGAACTCAACCAAAAATTCTGAAAATACTCTCACACGTACCCCTTGAAGTGGTGAACACTCCAGTATCAACCGTTTGAAGAATGGACAAGTATGGAATCCAGAAAAAATTCCTAACTAGCACACTGTTCGCAGGAATTACTGTAGTTCCAGTTTGGGGAAGATGCACAGTACTTCGTTTACACAATAATGCTCAGAAAATTATCAGAAAATACCCAAATGCTCCAAATAAGATGGCGAGCCCAGCAGTATACTCAGAATTCAATTCGAGTCCCAAACGGAATTGAACAATACCCGGCCCGGCTGTGACTTAGCTAGCTGATGTGCGGTGGAGCACAGGTGGCGGGAGACCAGTACGGGGAGGTTCGCCAGAGCCTGGCGACCCCCAAGGACCTCTCCCCTTCCACAAACAATCGTCAGACGATGAATCAAAGCTGAAATTCAAAATCGGTGATGAATAGTGACTCTGCGTACTGGGATTCAAAAAGTCTTCACCTTTTGCTAAAAAATTCACCAAATCTATAAATTCCAATCGGTGGAATTAAAGAGTAGTGGATTTCGAACAATAAAGTGGAAGAAAATCAAAGATTACTCGAATGAATTAAGAGCTTAGTCGGTTGAAGGTGCGCAACCTAGGAAAAAAAATAACCGTTGGTATTTTCTTTCTAGTGAGAAGCCAGAGCGTTCTCAACGCCCCTTTTTTTTCCTAGCCTAGGGGTTCATAGCCTTCAAAATACCATTCGCAGCCGCCAGCCTCATTCAAACATACGGACTATAGGAGTATATATACTACGGTGTATTTGCATTTTAAATTCACATAACATAGTACTCCGTATTGTGTAAAAAAAAAACATAGTACTCCGTATTATCACGGCTAATAAATACGTAGTACAACCTCAAGTCCGTACCAGAGAATAGCTGTCCCTCCTGAGAATCGTTGCCTTTTCGGGACTTTGCATTCTCTGACATTCGGTCCCTCTTCTCTTTCTCATCGTTCTGTGCGGTGGAAGGAGAGCCTGGAATTCATACGAAATCACAAATTAAAAGGCTTCCCATTTTCCATTCATCTCAAAGGCAGACGAAGAATTTGCAGAATATGGCTCTGAAGCTGAATTCCCTGAACTTGCAGTCTCACAAGTATTCCTCATTTGCTCTGCCACCAATGTCGAGGAGCAACCGTAGATCCCCGAAGTTTTATATGGCTTCAACCCTCTCTTCTGGCACAAAGTAAAGTCTTCTTCTTGCTTGATTTACTTTTTAGTGATTTTGACCGGGGCTCTCGCGAGCATTTGGTATATCCTCTGATGGATTTTCTGATAGATTGGTATCCTTTTATAGAAATTTGGTCTCTGTTGCGTTCTCTCCGATCTGGAGTTGCGCACATTTTGTTTGATTTGGATTCTATATGGTTCAATCAGTGATTTTTCGTTTTCTAATGTTCTCTTGTGAATCATTAACTTCTGGTTTGAGATGTACGATGCTCTCAATAGAAGAAAGCCAAGAAACTTCCTCGTTTTCTTTTCATCCGGATTTGTTCCTCCGTGCATTTGAAAGGAGTCGTACAAATTTTATTTTAAAAGTGGATTTTCTTTTGATTTTCCCAAACAGTTCCTCATTCCTTTAATTCCCAGATCGAGCTTTTTTCATAAACCATATGCTAGATACAGTAATGGTACTTTGATGGATTGGTTGTGCTTGAGGCTTTCTTGTTAAACTCTTGATTTTGTTCACAGCTTATTTTTTTATGACTATGTTTCATTCTTTAGAGAAGACTAATGTCAGCTCTATAGTCTAATGTTAAAAAACTAAAAGCATATCTTATGGTACAAGAGCTGTAGATGTGAGGGGCTGAGGGTAAGAACCACAACCTTCATTGACTATATCTAATATTCCTAATCAAGTTTAAGGCTTAGAGCATATTATGGTTCACATCTTGACCCCCAACTTAACCTTCTTCAATATGCTTATTAGGGAAGTTGAGAACCTGAAGAAGCCTTTTACTCCACCACGCGAGGTTCATGTTCAAGTCACACACACTATGCCACCTCAGAAAATTGAGATATTCAAATCTTTAGAGGGTTGGGCTGAGCAAAATATATTGACTCATTTGAAGCCAGTTGAAAAATGTTGGCAACCACAGGATTTTCTACCAGATCCAGCATCAGATGGTTTTGATGATCAGGTCAAGGAACTTAGGGAGAGGGCTAGGGAGATTCCAGATGAATATTTTATTGTTTTAGTTGGAGATATGATCACAGAAGAAGCTCTTCCAACTTATCAAACCATGCTCAACACCCTTGACGGTGTTAGGGATGAAACAGGGGCAAGCCTCACCTCTTGGGCTGTTTGGACGAGGGCCTGGACTGCTGAAGAGAATAGGCATGGTGACCTCCTGAATAAGTATCTTTACCTTTCTGGGAGAGTTGACATGAAAGCAATTGAGAAGACAATCCAGTACTTGATTGGGTCAGGAATGGTAAGTATCACATACTTTGAGTTTGTCTACCATCACTCATTAACTATCAGCTCTTCTATCACACTGTTAGAGGGGAAAAAGAACTTTATATACAAACATTCAGGAATCTTTCAATGTCTCTGCTGATCATTGTCTCGTACATGCATACATACATACGTACACACATACATATTAAACACACACATATAGGGAAGTCTTCTTGTTTATCTTTACCGATAATTTCTGGAGTAGCCTTGCCCACCTTTGGTTGTGCTTACCTTCCTATTTGAGCTGGCATCTAAGGGGGTGTTTGGATTTGATTATGCTTCTGCTTCTATTTTAAAAGCAGAAGTAGAATCATTTTTTGAAAAGCTGGTCTCCCTAACTTCTATAAACCTAATTCAAGTAGCAATTTTGAGCCCTCAGAAGTACTTATGCACTTCCACCCAAACACTACAATATATGCTTTTGCTCCCTGAAGGAGAAGAAGCAGTTTTATGAAACGGATCCAAACATCCCCTAAAAGTAATCCAATGGTGGAAGAAAGTTCTCCCCGACTAAAACCCCCTATATGCACGCATCATGTATGTATGCATATCAAAATCTTTTTATGGATAGCAGTATCGGTGCCTTTTTACAACTATAAAATTAAATATGCACAGATTTCAATGTACACATCAATTTAACACTATAATGATCATAATACTGAATCGAACTGTTGAGATCCAGTTTTTTATTGGATGGATACTTTCATGGTACATACTGAAACTGCACTGCACCCATGTATGTGTGTGCTTATCTACACACATATAACTATATAAGTATGCTCCATGACTAATGGCAATTATACCATACTAAGTGTTGTAGCCTGGTCAAATAGGACTTATTTTGTAGTACATATTTAGTGTCTGCTCTCATGTATCCTCCACCTCAATAGTCTTTTCCTTTGAGTGTTTTATGTATTTCTGAACCAACTACTTTGCCATAATTCTTTTTAGGACCCTCGAACCGAAAACAATCCCTACCTTGGGTTCATCTACACATCCTTTCAAGAAAGGGCAACATTTATATCCCATGGAAACACTGGTAGGCTTGCAAAGGAGCATGGAGACCTGAAACTTGCTCAAGTCTGTGGCATAATTGCATCTGATGAGAAGCGCCATGAGACTGCATACACCAAGATAGTGGAAAAACTCTTTGAGGTTGATCCTGATGGGACGGTGGTGGCTTTCGCGGACATGATGAAGAAGAAAATCTCAATGCCTGCACACTTGATGTATGATGGCCAGGATAATGATCTGTTTGATCACTTCTCAGCAGTGGCTCAAAGGCTTGGTGTCTACACGGCTAGAGACTATGCGGACATCTTAGAGTTTCTCGTGGGTAGATGGAAAGTGGGAAGTCTTGAAGGACTTTCATCTGAAGGGAGAAAAGCTCAAGACTATGTGTGTGGGCTGCCTCCTAGAATCAGAAAACTGGAGGCGAGATCTCAAGGGAGAGCCAAACAAGCTCCCATTGTTCCTTTTAGTTGGATATATAATAGGGACGTGCAGCTCTGAGTGCACCAAGTGGAAAACATATGCTAGCTATCAAGAATGCAAAGTGGATAGAGTGGTAAAGATGAAAAGTTCCTCCATGTTCTTGCTATCAAGATTGAAGTTTACTTGGCGATGGATGGAGCTATAATGCCTGATTCGTAGATACAGTTCATTTGTATTTTGTACTTGCCTGTTATGGTGTCTGTTTTGTTTCTGTTATTTTCTGGTGCTCGAGACTGGACATTTAGTCAATTTGCAATTTTGATGGTTTTTTTTGCCAAGTAAATGATATTTTCTAATCAGATTTGTTTATATTTTACTCGTTGACGTTGATTGGATTGTGGTGACATAGTTGCTCTTGGCCGAGCCACAAAGGAACGGGCTAAGCGAATGAAAGTCATGTGGTAGAAGTGTCTGCATGATATAGACCCCGAGTTTTGGCGAACTCCTTTTTGGAGAGGAGGTAGGTGGAAGGGTGTTTTAAATTCTTTTTTCACTTTTACTATTACACCGAAATCACTTATTTTATCAAATACTATTAATTTTTACTTTTTCAGAAACATTTTTTTCTCAAACACTACCAACTTTTACTATTAAAGCACTTTTTCCAAAATCACTTAAAAAAAACACTTTTTTAAAGTAGAAGCAATCGCAAACACTCTCTTAGTTCATACACGTTAGGTCTCCATTAAGGTCGATATAGACACAACGATTTTGGAAAATTTCCAGAATACGGGTAAAAATAATGAAATTTCAAAATAATTTTTTATCTAACTAGGGGCAACTTACTCCCATCATGATACTTTATTAACATATTTTTTACATTAACAGACCAAAAACTTTAATTAATGCCGTAAGGATATTTTTTCTTGGACTGTAATTTGCTGAGCTGGTCTGGTTTCTTTGTATTTTTATAACTATTCAAGTCTGATCTTGGACAAATTACAGTACCAGTAAAAACATTCTAACAGTACATTACAAACATTACATTACATTACTTAATCTTGTTTAAGAAGTAAAAATATCATACTACCCTTTTGGAATTTCACAAATTTTTATGTTATATTTAGGACATCCTCATTGCTTGGATTATTAAGGGATTAAATTAGTGACATGGCATTTCAATTGTCATTGAGTGACACAGATTATTTAATACTAGAATAATCTGATATCAAAATATGAATCCAGATTATCTTAAGATTATTTGAAAAGCATATGTAATACACTAATGCAGGATCAAGAAAAAAGCGGATTATTTGAAGATGATGATTGGAAGGCACAAACGAATTTTGAAATTATTTAAAAATTAATTATATGACAATATTTAAAAGGTAAGAATGCTAGAAAATATAGATTTTTAAAGATTATGAATGGTGTTGCTTTTAGATGAATTTCTTGGAACAAATAAATGCACTCCCTATTTCTGTGGCCACAATTGATAGTATTTTCTATAAAAGACATTACTTAATCCATCAGATCTACCATAACTGTTGGTTTGAAACTAGGGATGGACTGGGCCGGGCCGAACCGGCCCGGAACCGGACCGGCCCGCTACTGTGCGGGCCCGAACCGGACCGGGCCCGGTTGGCCGGTTCCGGGCTTTTAGCCCGTTTTGGCGGGTCGGGCGGGCCGGTTCCGGGCCCTGTTTTTGTTGAACCGGCCCGGGCGGTTCGGGCCGGGCCCGGTTCATTTTTTTTTTTTTTTTTTTGGTTTTTTCAATTTTTTTTCTTTTCCTAGGGTAGAGCTGGGTGTTTTAGGGAGGTTTGGGGCGTGGGGGTGAGGGGGGGGGGGGGTAGGGAGATAACAAGAAAGTCAAAAAAAAAAAAAAAAAAAAAAACATTGAACCGGGCCCGGCCCGGCCCGGCCCGGTTAGGCCCGGACCCGGTATCAACCCGGGCCGGTTCCGGGCCCATGTAACCCGAAAAAAAGCCCGCCCGGGCCCGGCCCGGAACCGGAACCGGCCCGGCCCGGGTCCATCCCTATTTGAAACTGCTTTTAAAAAAGCACTTCTCAGCTTTTGGCTTTAAAAAAGCACTTATTTTCCCAAACACTACAACTTTTATTTTTCTCGGCTTCCGCGTCAAAAGTGCTTTTACCTTTTCTATTACATAAAAAGCACTTATTTTACCAAACACTACCCACTTTTACTTTTCAAAATCACTTTTTTCTCAAACACTATCAACTTTTATTTAATCACTTCTACCCATTTCATTAAAAAAACACTTTTTTAAAAGCAGAAACTGTTGCAAACAGACCTAACGTAAATTGGAAAGTTGTAATCACCAAAAGAAAATGAAATCAAGATTGAAGATAGCTGATTGCAAAAACCAATATGGATTATTTTTTTCTTCTCTTTTGCCATAATGTCACCGTGAGCATTTTCATTGACCCGTAGCTATATTCATCATACTACCCAAGTTGAGCAACCTTTAAAATATGCAGAGATTTGCTTCAGAGGTCATACAGATTTGAATTGTAAACTTAGAACAAAAGGATGGATGTGGTCAAAACTTAAAATATAGTGATGACTACTGACCGTCATCATTCTACTAAAGGCTTGTCCACTAGGATAAATAAATAACAATCCCAAAAGGGAGAAGGAATGTATACAGAAGATTGTCAAAATCATTTAATTTGTGTTCAGAAAATTACTGCATGATGAATATGCTCATATCTCTGGTTGTTGCTTTTCACATTCATCCCGAATTGATTGAAAAAGTACAGTTGACAGGTACCTCTCTCCAAAGCTAGGGAAAACAACCTGCAATTGTTTAGGATTAGAAAGTTTTTGAAAGCAGACTTGGCAGAGAGAAGACGTTATACTATGTGTTTCCCCCAAACTATATGCCTACAGTTTGTAAAAAAAATGCTCATCTGGAATAAACAAGAACTAATAACTACAACTAGACCTACCGCAATAAGCTTTCCAGCATTCTCTGGTCTCTTAGCAACCTTCATCGCAGCTGCTGCAGCTGCTCCAGAGGAAAAGCCCACCTGATCATTACAAGTTCAGAGCAGAAGATGTAAAAATATTCTAAAAACCAAATAGCATAAGATTTATTAAATATAACATGGGAGTTATTCTATATGGAAAGGAATAAGCAGTACTCAATTATAGCTTCGAAGGGAATAAATAACATCATTACTAGTCAACTCACAAGGTTGATATAATTTATGCGTGTAGGCTGAGGAACTAAAAACTCCATTTTAGGCAATTCCTCCCTGTATTGCAGCAAAAGGAATGCACTAGCAAACATGGAGGCATGAATGATTTCCAAAAAAATCATTCATTTTATTTTCTACCTTATCCATTGCATGAATTGCATCATCTCTGCCTTTTAGTTTTCATCAAAAAAGGCTGTCTAACTTATAACAATATCTGTTAGTATACACATTTCTTTGAATGGGAAAACAGTTATTCCTTTCAATCAAGATCATGGGGAAGTAAGAAACTACTAATATACAAACCAAAACACTGAGTTTTCCCTATTGACTGTCATTTCCAAGAGTAGATTTATAGAACCATGTGACTCCATAAATGTGACTCTCTTATGGAGTCACATAGAGTATAGTGGCATCATCTCCACCACATATCATTTTAGTGGAGACCTCCACTAAAATGATATGTGGTGGAGATGATGCCACTATACTCTATGTGACTCCATAAGAGAGTCACATATGGTTCCTTAAAAGTTTTGCATTTCCAAAACAAACATAAACTGGAAGTGTGAAAGAAAGAAAAAGAATGGTAACTTATTGAAAACTAAAGCATCAACTAACAAAAGGATTTCATGTTAGTCTTCATGGAGATAATCTGAAAGAAAAGACGTCTAACCAATCATCATGAACAATAAATCACTAAAAATTCTCCAGAGATCTGAAAGAGTGAAAGATATGAAAGCACTTACCAGCAATCCTTCTCTAAGTGCTAATTGCTTTGCAACTTCAATAGCTTCATCATCTGATATCTATGTCGCACGGAAATGGAAACACAAGAAATGTGAAGTGAAATAGCCACCCGGAGAAACATAATCTTTAAACAGAAAAAGTTGTAATAAAGGGTTGCTAGAGTTTCCTGAAAGTTTCAGAAATTCAGAAACTCATAAACAATAGCCCCTAAAAGTTCTGTGCTTCATAGAGATATATTAATTCTTAAAAAATTGATGAAAAGATACGAGCACTGAAGTGGATATAGCATATGGTATTACAATGCACTTGTGAAGCTCATCTCAATTTAAGGAACATGAACTTTATAACCTTAAGTCTTACGCCTTTAAGAATGAGGCGAGGTAGCTTCATAAGACTCGAGGCCTTGATTTAGGCTTAAGCCACATAAGTTTTATTATAAGGTTTATTATTTTGGTCATATTGAAAATAGATTTATCAAGTCCACCACGACAATTCAATTTTCTGAAGAACAAAGTCACTTAAAGGCCATAAAGAATCATCAAGTCGGTTTTCAAATCAGCAACCCTCTTCAGATTCACACAAACTGCACAGCTTAATCGCCATTTAAGTGATTTAACATACTCCACTAAGAAGACAAACAACTCTTCTTCTCACAAGCTTCATGCAACTCAATTTTATTGCAAAGTTAGTCAACCTTTTTTATTCATGGTAAACCTTTAGAACTTTTCTCAGAATATCTTCTTTTCTCATAACTCTTTTGACAAACTTCAATCTATTATCTTCGTTTTTGTGGGGAAAAGAATCATTTTTTTGGAGTACCTGCTACGAATGTTCTCTGACTTCTAAATTTCTTGCAGGTGCATGAAGTTACAAAATGAAGAATCAAATCACATGAATCAATTAAAATATTGTCAGGAGTATAATTTTCCTGATGCTGCTCTGAGCATGTGTTTTGATACGTGTTAAACTAATTATGTGGCTCAAGATGTCAGGAGTACCTAATTTTACTACTTTGTTTCTAAAATATTATTGTGTCACATAGATCTAATTCTAACATTAATCTTATGATGTTCAAGTATTACAAGTTAAGTTATTGTGTCTCGTACAACCTCAAGGCTCGTGCCTCACCTCATAGAAACCAGACACCTCAAGGCTTAAAGCCACTTTTAAAAACTTTAGTACTACCTCCGTCCCGCTAAGATTGTCCCATTTTACCTTTTCGGGAAGTCCCACTAAGATTGTCCCATACCAAATTTGGTAAAGATTGTGTGGCTCTAGATCATTCTTACTTTATTCTTACTTTATCACTTTAATATCAACCACACAAACTCACTTTTCTTAATAATCGTGTCACCTTCTCTCGTCCCAATCTTAGTGGGACGGAGGTAGTATTAGCCAAAAAGGGAGAGTGCATAGAATCAAAACCAAAATATAAATTGCATGGAGCAAAAGTAGAAGGTAATGAAATCTATGTATGCAGATATTGAATAATCATTGAGTTTTTAAAAATTACATACCTCTATAACTTCATCCATAATATCTTGATCTAAATTTTTTGGAATAAAACCTGCTCCAATCCCTTGAATTTTGTGAGGGCCTGCAATTTCGAATTAAAAAGGTGTGAAATGTAAAAATGAGTATAGACAACTTTGCTATCTCACCAGGCTTTCCACCAGATAATACGTTGCTTTGTGCAGGCTCCACACCAATGATCTGACAAGACCCACAAAGAAAAACAAGTAAATTGCACTGCGACACACACACAAAGGACA